ATCTTACGTTTGATGTAAAAAAGCAAATAAATACACACCAACACACAAAGCACACAACTGTTTAGCGGAAGTGCATGCGTTACCAGCTGTATGTGCCTCTCGGTCGGCGGCTTTTTTCGAAAAGCTTTACTTTGCCGCTGTTGTCACGCCCACAGGGGCAGGGCCAGACAGGTGCAACACATCAGCAGACGATTAGCCGCCTTTAAAAGAAAAGCCAACCCAAACCTTCCTCGCGAAGTATTGCGCTGATGTTTCAAAGCCTTACCGAGCATTCCATCTGTCTTCCGTTTAACCTTGCCTTACCTGTTAGCCCTGTGTGTTAATCTTACCTTTTTGCCTTCCCTCCTCAGTCCAGCTCCCGTACCTGACCCACCTGTCCTGCCGAGTCCAGCCTCTCTTGTTCGCCCCTCTTTGTGTTCCCCGGTCTTGTGTCTCTCCGTCGGGCGGATCCCTCTGGTATCGACCTCGGCTTACGTACAACGACCACGATTACTGCGCGCCGCTTCTGTACCTACCTGTCAGCTTACCGAGTCGGTGACATCACCCCTGCCCGTCGCTCTCTCTTCGGTAACGGGTGTTATGCCGAAAAACGCATCCCTGCCTTAGAATGCATGCCGGTGTTCCGACGAGTTGAGCTTTTAAGGGTGTTTTGGGGCTACATTGATTAGCACTACGGTAGCCTTACTCGACAAAGTAGCTCAACTCGTTTCAGATCAGCCACCTGCAATCGGTCATTTAGAGACAGGCATGCATTCTACGGCAGGGATGCCTTTTTCGGCATAACACCGGGGCTGAAGAACGTGTGATCACTCTCTGTGCCGTATTGAACATTTCCTGTATTCCTTCCCAAACCGACTCATTAAAGCTCTGTACTCCCTGCACTCCTGGATCCCTGCTTCTCTTCCTAGTCATACGTAACAGCTGTGATGCCGTATCAAATGTTATTTATCGTAAATTAGATGTTGTATTTTTCGCAGTTGAAAGCGTTTTGCTGCTGGCACAAAGCTTACAACGAACGACAATGTTGTTTTCATCTTTACCTGACAGTCGAAATAATGACTGTACTTCCAGCACTGCCCCCCCCCTGATAAATTTGCATATGCATGATATGCTTCTATGCTCAAATATGCGTTACAACAAATGCACTGTCAGCAAGGTGTTCTCGAATCACACGCGGGGGGAAGGGGGGGGCACAGAAAGCAGCAGCTCAGCGCGCCTCTGGTCATCGTCAACAAACGCCGGTCGCATGCGGAGTTAAGGAAGAGGACTACCGATGAGTAAGTAAATCATTATTTCTAAAGAGTGGAAGTTATTTGTTCTGTAAACTTTGCCGGCTGGAGTGACGTGTTTTTTTTTTTTAGTGCCGAATTTAATTACCTCGGTACAGGGCCGTGCAGAGACGTTTAAAGGGGCGGGTGCTCAGTTAAAGAGAACAGGCTGAATAACAACTCGCATTCATGACGAATCTAATATGTAATTATGTGGATATCCATATTGGATCGTTTTTAGTGAAATAAAAGCTCTCCAGAAAAGGAAAAAGTCCTGTAACTTACTTTAAAACAAAACATGTTCCCTAAAACGGTGGACAGAGCTACAAACAGCACGCTCATTTATTTCAATTCATTTGTTATAGACTATATAGGTATGTTACAAAAAAATGAGACGGTAAAATTAAGACCTGCAAATGTTTTCATCAGGGAGAGTGTAAAGAAACATAAATTTTGATACCAAAACCACCCCTCTATGTTCAGTATTAAGGAAGTTATGACAGTTTTAATATTCGGGGAATGGCTAATTTCCATGTATCGTCTTTGCACTAGAATAAAACAAAAGCTGTGATCAACAAAAGTGAATGTTCAATAACTTCCTTGTGGGTTGAGAACTGAATGAAACTTTCAACACATACAGAGAAAGTTAGAGAATCAGAAAACACTAAATTAAGTTGGATATCTTTTTCTCCTTTTAATTAGTTAATTATGGTGCGTTCGATTATTTCTCTCCAAGTCGGAACTCGGATGA